AGAAAAAAAAAAAAAAAAAAAAAAAAAAAACAAAAAAAAAAAAAAAAAAAAAAAAAAAAAAAAAAAGAAAAAAAAAAAAAAAAAAAAAGAACAAAAGAAAGAAAAGAAAAAGAAGGGTAGAGTAGTAGTAGTTTGCTCTTCTTGTTGGTTTTCCTTTTTTTCTTTTTTCCCTTTCTTTTTCCTGTCAAAGCACGAAGAAACCCCTGGGGCGTGGTCGCACTAGCAAAGAGGATCGGATGGAATGTCTGAATCTGGACGAGTTTATGGAGATGTGCAGGAAATCGACATTGAACTGCTTTTCTGCACCTCTGCTTAAAACACATCCAGATTCAGGAGCTCGATCCTATCCTTTTTGCTAGTGGGACCTCGGCCCTGGTAATGTAGGTTTTTACTATTTTTTGTTTCAGTTTTTTTTTTTTTTTTTTTTTGTCTGTAATATTAAAATATTGATTCTGTTAATTGGCTTGCTTGCATGTCTGTGTGCTGTCTCGCCTATAACTTCTCTCAGCTCTTACAAGACGAAGAAGCCGATGAATTTGCCGCTCATTTCAACCGGGTTCAGACACCAAGGGTGCTTATCACCACATGCCCGCACCCTCACAAGGTACACTTGTTTTTTTTTTTTTTTTTTTTTTTTTTGAGCATTGTTTGAATCACCTTGCTCTCTCTCTCTGTGTCCCCCTTTGCCTAGACGGTTATCTATCGCAGGACCTTTTTTTTTTGTGTGAATTATGTCCTCGTCTTCCTCGGGCTTTCGCAGTGTGGATTGGCAGTGTTTTCTGACGTGTATGATTTTCTGTGGCTGATTTTATTTATTTATTTATTTGTTTTTTTGGGTCTTTGTGTCTGGTTCATGTGTCCTGTTGTGTGTTTTGTTATAACCCCCTTACAACCTGCGCAAGCCTTGTGTTCGGGGGGTGTGCGGGGGGCGGAATGGGGGTTGCATATCCATTCTCAATCAGGGTAAGAGGGGTCTTTAGGGGTGTCCGTCGGCTTTATTTAAGGATTGGGAGATTAGGGGGAAGATTGTGGGGAGGGGGGAGAGGGGGGTAAGCGGGGTGTTGCCATGGGGGATTCCAGGTAATACCCCGAAAAGGCTGACGATGTGGAGGGAAGAGGGTTGTGGTGGGGGGGATTATCAGGCTGTGAAGCTGCGCACCGGCGTGTACATACAGTGAAACAAGCGCCAGCTGTGGGGCTCAAGGTCTGGGTCTGGGACCTATGGGACCTAAGGGACTTGGAGGATCTTGAAGCACTAGTACCTCCGCCAGTTTTGGGAAATTAGGCAAAATGGGCCCGAAGAGTTCGCAGCTGGGCCCGACGACGGCTGCCATTGATAAAATCTCATCGGCGGCCGTTGTTTCGTTTCGGCCTCCTAAAAGGTCGGAGGCCCACCCGAGGCCCGCTATTTTCCCACTTGGCAAAGGTACTAGTGGTTCAAGGGTGGGATTTGGGGGGGGGTAGAGGGCTCGGGGTTGACGGGCGTAAGTTGCGGTAGAGGGCTTACAAGGGCTTAGGGGGGTAGGGGTTTCCAAAGCGCTGGGTATGGGACTTGATGTCTGGATCCGCGTCTGGGTCAGAAGAGTCTGGGTCTGGGACCAAGGTCAGTGTATGGGACTTGAAGGGACTTGGGGGTTCATCTGGTTGGGATTAGGGTAGAGGGGGTGGGGTTGAGGGTCTGTGTCACTTGGATTCGGAATGGAACAATGGCGGGCGCGGGTGGTGGTTATTAGGGGGTATTTATAGGGGTTTATAGGGCTTTTCAAGGCTTGGGATCTAGGGCTTATTATGGGTTTTAGGGTCTGTGGTTGGGGAGGCCACAGTGCGCTGCGATGGCTGGTGTTTTTAGAGTCTTTAGTCAACTTTAATACACATCCTGTAGCTCTTCTGTGAGTTTGGCTCACTACCTTCTTCCCCCGAATACAACGTACGGGCATTATATATCTGTATCTAGACTGAAAGACAGCCCACATACAGCTATAATGACCGTACGTTGTATTCGGGGGAAGAAGGTAGCTAAATAAATATTTTATTTATTTTACTTATTTACTAGGCTACCAGCCAGGCCGTGCAAGGGCCAAAATGGGTCTGAGCCTAGGCTACCAGAGTGGCCCGGGGTCACTTGCCCGGCCGGGCCAAAAAAAGAAAAAATATTTTTAAATTTTATTTTTTATTTTTATTCTAAATTCGATGAAGAATTTCGATGTGACTCTGAGGCAAAAGTTGTTCAGTTTGTTTTTCTGCATAACATAGTTCTTTTTTTCGGATTTTTAGGGTCTTTTTTTTTTTTTTTTTTTTTTT